AAGTAAGCTTTGCTTAGCCTAAGCGTCTGTCAGCTGATGAAAGGGCAGTTACCTCACCCGGGTGGTGCCAGCCACCATCCTCAGTTATGCCTGGGGTGGCCAGGGCACCCAGCTCCTGGCTGACTGCCACAAGCAGGCTTGCAGCTGGTATGCTGGGCTCTTAAGCTACTACATATTTACTCAGCAGCCAATAATCACATTGTAGTAACCTACTCAGTTACTGCAGCTGGCTAAGGCCTGTACTCCAGATGCTGACTCCTGGGAGAGGCAGGAATACATATGTGAGTAAGTGCAGTCCAGACTCTTGGTGCTTCTGGAAGCCTGGGAAAGGCGAGGATACACAGAAAGTGTTTGTCCTGATGTAAGAGCAGCAATAACTTCATAGCAGTGGCACTATATGAACTAAATCTTGAAGGAGTCCCAAGAGGGAGGCTGAGTGTCTTGGAAGCCTCATCTAGAGCATGACAGCACTACTTTGAGGCCAGGCTCTTCAGGGCAGTGGCTGGCAGGGTGCACAGGGGCCCAGTCACAATGGGCTCTGTATGCCAGGCACAGGAGTGCTTATTCTGAAGGCAAGAGGAAGACATAGCATGGTCAAAAGGTGTTTCATAAATCTCTCTGGCAGTGAAGTGGAGAGGACGTGGGGAGGCCATCCCCATGGGTTTCAGTCTCACCTGGATGTCTGGCCAGCTCTTCCACATCCACTGCCCTTCCTACACTGACAATGGTTTCTGTCACATGCCACTGTGATTGGTGTGGCAGAGCCACAGCCATGTGAATGAAATCCATGGAGTCACTAGACTCCACCTGTGTCTCCTGCACTATCTGGAGCTCCTTGCCACAGCATTACACCCAGGGAGACAGATTTTCTTTCCAGACTAACTCCTAACTTGAGGCGGAAACCTCTTAGGAATAGGAAACAAGGCTACTGACCCACAGGGCTGCACCCAGCCACAGCTCCTCCACCTCTCCATGGTTAGGAGAGGAAAGAAGGGCATGGGGGAACAGGGTCATTGAGGCTGGAATAAATATTTTTTGAAAGGGATATCTGGTAATATCAATGACTGGTTCGAGACAAAGTAATCTTCCAACATTAGGCATCAGGAATGACATAGGAGTGATGAGTTGCTAGGAAGTCATGAGGTTGGACATGGAGGTGATGAAAACCCAACACTGAAAAATACAACAAATATAGACAGAGGAGGCCTTGTAGGCCACAAGAGCATCACCTGGGCATCACCTAGGTTATCAGAGCAGGGGAAACACCCACACATGAACTGTGGACCAGGGGCTCAAGGAAGAGACAAAATGGAAGTGCTAAGCCACCATACTATGTAAGTCTTTCCTGGTTACTGGTGCCTCCCTGTCAAGTATTTACCCCAGTCGGCTGTGCATGGAGCCCCTGTTCACAGGTGTTCTCTTCTCCAGCACAGGGAACTCTTGGGGCAGGCACTGTCATTTCCAGCTGGCCCTGACATAAGCTAGAAAAAAAAAAATAATAATAATTCCCTGGAAGAACTCTGGCTCAGTGAATTTGCCAATGAGAATGAACAAGCCCTAAGCTGAATTTTCTGAAGAGATCATTCGGTTCTTTGTATAACTCAGTGTGAACAAATAGATATTAACCAATGCAGGGTCCCCAATTTAGCCATCAATGGGTTTCTTAAAGAACTTTATTTTTTCTAACCATAATATTTTCAATAAATAAATTCCAGTAACCCATGGAAACCTGGGGTAAGAGAGGTAGTGTAGATAGGCGATATAGACGCCGCTGAATCAGCCCTTCTCAGCTGTTCGATATTTTTTATTTTAGGCAGGGCTATAGGAGGGTGGAACGAGGGGAATGACAGGTTTATCTCATTTTTCAAATTATTCTTTGGCAAAGAAAAAGTTAAACATTTTACTACGACTATATATCAACATTTTACTAGACTTATTTTATAAAGAATAGTGAACGTGTAGCAAACTTGAATTTCCAAAGTTAAACATGGATCAAAGTGAAGGAAAGACATGGTGGCTCACACCTGTAATCCCAGCACTTGGGGAGGCAAAGGCAGGCAGATTGCTTGAGCTCTGGAGTTTGGGACCGGCCTGGCCAAGATGGTAAAACCCCATCTCTACCAAAAATACAAAAAATTAGCTGGGAATGGTGGCACATGCCTGTGGTCCCAGGTTGAGGTGGGAGGACTGCTTGAGCCCAGGAGGTAGAGGTTGCAGTGAGCTAAGATCACACCACTGTACTCTAGCTCCAGCCTGGGTGACAGAGTAAGACCCCACCTCAAAAAAAGAAAAAAAGAAAATGAAAACAATCCTGAATTGGTGGTTTACATCTTCTTGTTGGAATTCTTACATGAAAAAAAAATCTGCTTGATTATCGGCAAAAAGGGTGATGTTAAACAGGAATACGTGACTTACTTTGAAAATCTCTTAGGGAGTAAGAAGGTTCTACTTAACAAAGGTAAATCAGAATGCACCAGTAGTGCTGTGGGTTTTACAGAAGAAACTGGAACTGATTTTTCACAGCAGCTCTTGAAATAAGTGGGGTGGGAAGTGGCAGCACAGCAACCCCATGGAACAGCAAGTGGCGTTTGTTCCCTGAAGACTATGACAAGAGTTTTGTGATCAGCACTGCCTAGGAGTTTGCCCTCTGGGATTTTTCTTTCTTTCTCTTTGGGTCTAGAATCCAGCAGAAGGCTTATTCAATCTTTCTAATGCCATAAGAAAAAAACATGCTGGGTCTATCACCAGATGGCCTGTGAATGGGCTAGGACTCTGTTGAGACTGGCCTAGCTATGAACACTGTTGTTCTGTACCCTACAAGGTCTTTCCAGACAAGCGTGCAAGTAACTAATGACAGAGCAGAATATGCACACTGCTCTGAATCATGTAAAGTGCCAAATACTAAGGTACATGATCCTTCAGAATGTACATTCACCATGTTTTAGCTCCTGAGCAGCCTCTCAGGCTTCCGGTGCTTAGAGACGAGGGCAGGTGAAGACACTGGTTCCCTGTGGTCTGTGCTCGGCAAACAAAGCTGGTGAAAACACAGACGAGCAGCTATAGGAGAAAAGGGGCACAGCTGAGATCCATTTTCAATATCTCAGTAACACTCGTGCCTCGGTTCCTTGGTAGAAAGACTACAAAGGGGTAGTCACCTGCTGGTAGGTTATTTAGGGGAAGATATCAGAGGTAAGAGGAAGTGTTTCCTTCTAGGAGTACTTGAAAACCATGCAGCTTACGCATCAAATTCTAAGCAATAGTCAGGACTCTCGAGTACAGCCAAGGACCAGATTTCAGGAAGCAAAGGTTTTGGATGTCCAACTAGATGTCAGAGCTGCCCAAGAGCTTCACTTCCCCAAGGGTCTGCCCACTCACACCTATTTCCAGGACTGGCCTTTTGGCCAAGTCTAGGGATTTTCATCCCCTGGCAAATCAGAAATCACCAACTAGTACCCAGTTGGTTGGGGGCATATGAACTGGAGCCAGAAATGTGACTTTGGCCTGTGAAAGAGGGAGGGGAATGCCAAGAAGCCAGGTCTCAAAGGCAACTGCGCCCCACAGTCACCCAACAGGTCCCATGGGCCCCACTGGCCAAGCACCCAGGACACCACCAGCTGCTTACTGTGATGGGCCACATTTGGGTGTGCTCTTAAGATGGCATGTGTGTGTAAAATATCTCTGGGGGATTTCCACTGGACAGAATGGGACGATTCAGTTATCTGGACATTTTAAAAGAATTGCTTACTCCCTGATAATAAGCAAAGTGTTTTTCTACTGTGCAAATACTTTGATGTCAGAATAATTGATATTACCGCTTTCGATGTGGTCCAGGGGGCACGTCTTTCATGTATGCTGCATAAATGTCTCCACTGGACAGCAGGCGCTGGCATCATTTCTCCCACAGAAGTGCTCTTCTGAAAAGTCCTGCATCAACACTTGCACCACCAGCTGGGAAGCTCCAGGCAGCCGGAACTACTACTATGGGATATGCCCTGACTTGGGCCTGGGACTGGCACCAGGCAGAGAACCTCATTTCCTGGGTCACAGAGGGCAGGAATTAGCTGCTGGCTCCTGCCCTACCTAGAGAGGATGCCTAGTGCTCAGCTGGCAAGAGGAAAAGTGTGAAGCTGAAGTTCTTCTCTCTCCTAGGCCCTGACAGGTGGGGATTAATGTGTCTCCTGGACAAGCCTGAGCTCCTCAGATGCCATCATTCTCTCTATCCAATCTCACTCTTCCTGCTCTGTATGGCCCATTAGCCAGGGGCCACCCTCAAGTCTAATGAGTGCAAACAGGAAACAAGGCCTACCTTCCTCAACTGCTGGGTCTCTGTGACAGACAGCTCTCACAATCAGAGGTTCTATAAATTAAGAAAAACAAACTAAACCCAGAAGATGGCAGACAGGGAAACCCAGAGGTCTAAGGAAGCTGGCAGTTAAATTTGAGAGTGTTAGGCAGGCAGAAAATGAAACTAGACAGACATTTATTTTGCGTTTGATTTCTCTGGTTCAAATGTCTACATGCTGGAGTAAATCCACTTGCCTCTCTTCGGGGCTCTTCCTTTGCAATACGTTAACTTGGCTAAGGATGGCGTATGCCACTGTTGACTCCTGGTCCTCCAAGGCCCAGGAGGCTTACCTCCAGGCAGGGCCCGGAGCCACAGCAGACTCAGAAGGCCACAGGTACAGTCTCGGTGGCATCAGACGTTGGGCTGATTCCTGAGGCATCACTCCTGTCTCCTAAGACAGCAGGCTCTGGCGCTCTGATAAGGAGCTACCAGCTCACAATCACATGACCATGGCAGAAACACCAACGCCAGCTGGTCCAGGCTCCAGCCAGTTTCCTCTGGGCAGCATGTTAGAATGGGCTCCCTGCCTTTTTGTTTTTATCATCCAAATCTAGCTGCAAAGGTCTCCAAAATGTCCTTGACACATCTGGACCTGAAAGTAAGAGCTGATTTTTAAGAGATTCTCATTGCATTTGGACAAAATGAATAATGTGCCTTTCATATTTTCTTTGTATTTCTCTTCAACAGTCGCTTGACTCAACATCTTTCTGTCTGCTCTATACAATGAAAATACAAACTAAATGAGAATAGAAAAAATAATTAAAGCATTAAATTGTACAAATTACAAATCTGTTCCAAAATATACTTACATTAAATAAAATATGCATTTCAATAAGAGATCTACAGTGAATGACTATGCATTCTGGGAAGCTTCACAACATCTAGGCAGGGCCAACACTCGTGAAAGAAACTAAGAGATTTTGCATCCAATCACAGTTTGTAGTGGGTATCTTATTGCCAATCTGCAAGTTACACGGAACACATCATTAGCATCGCTTGTGCAGAAAACCAATTTTGTTGGGGAAAAGGGAAAGCAAGCTCTGGCCTCAATTTTGAGTTCATTACAACTTCTTAAGAATTTCACCAATAGCCTATACAGTACAAGTTCAAAAAAGTAAACATGTTAAGGTAAGCAGACAACTCTTCAGAAGCCCAAACACATTTTCTTGCTGTATTTATGTTGAATTCTCCATCTACAATGAGCAGTCATGAAGATGGTCTTCTTCAGGGCAACATGGTCACAGGACTGGGACAATCCAGGGGGCTGAGGGAGCGTGAGGACGGGAGAGGGGGCTACCTCCTGCTGTTTCACATGAGAGACAAACTGTAACACAGTCCATGGGCCTGCAATCGTCCCCTTTTATCATCTGGCATAACGCTTGATGTAGTCATCCACTTTATTCCGGAAGTCCTCCTGTGGAGTGACAGCATCAGGGACAGAAAGAAGAACAGGAAGAGTGAGTGAGTGAGTGAGTGAGTGAGTGAGTGATGCAGCACTTCAGGGACGAGTCAGATCTACCAGCACCAAGGCCCCCCGTGGTCGCCAAGGTGGTGGAAGGACTACGATCTTGCTGAGTCCGAGTGCCATTTCACCACGATTCGGGTGCCTATTGCATGCAAGACGCAGTGCTGGGTATGCTGAGGGGGGCGTGCAGAAGACCTGAGTGGGAGGGACCCTAAGGGAGCATCTATCCCTCCTCATTTTTCAGACTGGGCAAATGGAGCCCAGAAAAGTATAGTCAAGGTCACAAAGCCAATACTCCTTTGGCCACAATGGGTTTGAGCCACAGCTGCTGCTCTCAGGAAGACCCTTGTTTCTAGATTTGTCTTCCTGGAATGATTTCCCTGGACCTTGCTACCTATTTAAAATGTGCCTGCTCTTCCCAGCCCATGTACAGCCCCCAATCTAAAGAAAGCTACCCTGTCAGAAGAGAGCTGGTGTGCTGCAGAGGTCCGTCCTCATGCATTCTTGAATAGTGCAGGTGGCCAGTGACCAAAGGCGGTGTGGAGCTAGGAATCACCCCAGGCAAGTGTAGATGAGATGAACCTCTCACATCTGGGTCACTGTCCCAGGTTTGTCCCTGGATCTGGTCTCCCCAAGGTTAGGAGTAAAATCCCATGAGATTGTATAAGGCTTAAGAGTGACTAGGAGCTCTTAACCCTCTCACTCCTACAACACAGCTGCTGGGTCCGAGATGTCCCTGCAGGATCACACTGTTTCAGTCCCAACAATGCCATGCAGCTCCCACTGCACAGGGAATACAGCACAGTTATCACAGTTCTTAGTGGGCATGAGTTCCATTTCCTTAGCTATGCCTCAGTCCTCCTGTCTAAGCCTCAGTCTGGCCTGCCTGCTGATTCCAGTGTATAATCCTGACACCTGATAACGTGCAGGGCACACTCTGGCACTCGGTGTACACCTCGCTGCTGCCATAATGCCCTCTTGAAGCGGAGATCCTGCCTGGAGCATGGTCCTGGCCAGCTGGGGACCAGGTGCTGCCTTCCTGCCATACCCTTAATTAGCATGGCGGCCCTTTCCAGGGCGGGCAAGTTTGCAATTTGAGGCTATGGATATGGTCCCATGAATTGCTCTGGTCTCAGGGTGAGAAAGTGGAGTGCTCTAAGTCTATCCAGGTGCCTCTGCCCTGCCAACTGCCCTATTTGTCTACAGGATGGTGTTTGGAGTCTCACACATGGGCCTTTACCCCACAACAAAAGGAGGTGTGCAGAAACCCTGCCTGCCCTTTTACAAAACCTTCTCAAGGCTATTTCCACAGTCCCCAGAGCCAGACAATACGGGTGAGGAAGGAGACCCAGGCATCTGGGATCACCTTCCCCTTGACTTCCACACTGCATTTCAACAAAAGACAAGGCCGGCTGAGGGGTGCCTCCTAAATCACCTTCCTATAAGATAGGAGGCATGGTATGGGGGAATCTCTCCAAAAGACACTGTTTTTACTTAAGCAAGATCAAACCTCCACCCCACTCCTCCATCAGGAGACCAGAAACCTTTCACATGTAATTCCTAAAACTGTAAACCTAAGACCCTTTCATGTGTGATTTCTAAAGCTGTAAACCCAAGACCCTTTCACTTGTAATTACAAGTGTAAACCTAAGGCTGTAAACCTAAGATCCTTTCATGTGTAATATCTAGAGTGTAAGCCTACATCAAGGCAGAGCTTCTCTTTGTTAGGGAGCTTGGCCATTTGGACAAAACATAAAGCCTTGCTCCTGGGATGTAATAATAAAACCCCTTCAGCCGCTCCTGCTTCACTGTCAGTTCACAAGCTTACAAGCTGTGAAATGAAGACCCCATAAATGCCCTGTCTCTCCACATTCTGGAAGACAAAAGATGCCATGTACTCGTAGTCCCCTGCTCACCTCACCCAGCACAGAGCCCAGCATCCATGCCTGCAGCAGGCCCCGTGCTCCAGCCTCTGCTGCCTCCCTCCTCCTCTCCTCCCCCAAGGTACACGAAGCACAGGGCCCAAGTGAAACCACAGACTCTGGAACCAGATCGAGGCGGGTCCAAGTCCTGGGATTTGCCCCCAAAGGGCTACTCAATCACGGCCAATCTCAGCTTCTTGGTGGCTGTGTTCTCAGCAGCAAAATGGGGATCATAATGGTACCTGCCCCCACAGGGCTGTTGTGAGAAACAAGTGCACTCTGTGCCAAGTGCAAGGAGCGTGCCTGGCTCCTACTATTCCATCCCTCTGACCTGCACCAGTCATAATGGCCTCATTTCTCTGCCCTGAGCTCCACAGCACATTCCTGCCTCAGGGCCTTTGCACTGGCAGCCGAGGCTTTCTGGAGTGCTCCCCCTCACCATCCAGCCCGCCGTGACCTGCTCTCCACCTTACATTCTGTGTTTGTTCACCTATTTTTAAAAATTTTACTTATTATTATTACTTTTTGAAATGGAATTTCGCACTCGTTGCCCAGGCAGGAGCACAATGGCATGATCGTGGCTCACTGCAACCTCCGCCTCTTGGGTTCAATCGATTCTCCTGCCTCAGCCTCCCAAGTAGCTGGAATTACAGGTGCCTGACACCATGCCTGGCTAATTTATGTATTTTTAGTAGAGATGGGTTCCACCACATTAGCCAGGCAGGTCTCGAACTCCTGACCTCAGGTGATCCGCCCGCTTCGGCTTCCCAAAGTGCTGGGATTACGGGTGTGAGTCACTGCGCCTGGCTGTGTTTGTTCACCTATGCTCCGCCTCCTCCTGCTGGAACGTGTGCATCACAGGGACAGAGACTGTCATTGCCACAGTCCCTGAGCACTTCACACCACCCCTGGCACATAAATGGCCACCAGCCAAACAAGTGATAAACGAGTGAACCCAAGGAAGGGCACTTGACAACTGTGACCATTACTCAGCAGAAGGCATGGGTGGGGCTGCAGCACTGCTTAGGCTTCCTGTGGAGGCATCACTGTTTGGAGATTTTAGGTTATCAGTGCAAAGTCTTATTTCATATAAATAAGGAATATGAAATCTTATTTCATACAAAGAGAGGTAAAATGTAAGACCTCTCTCCACCTGGAGCCATGGGAATGCTCCTATTGCCATCACTTTCTATCTGACAAGTCTTGGTCCACAAGGGCTAGTCCTCACCAGCGACAGCAGAGAGGAGTGCCACCACTAATGCCTGCAAGGGGTGGGCCAAGGGGCACATTTGCGCCCCCAAGGTGGGCCAGGGTCTGTCAGCGCAGTACCAAGCCCAAGGCTTTGCTGGACAACACAAGCCCATCAGGACCACCAATGGACAACAGGGGTTGGGGGCTGACTGCCCCCATGGGGAGCTGTGAGCACAGGGCTGAGGTGCTGGCCTCGGCCAGGGCTGCCTCAAGCCATTGCCACTTCTCTTGAGAAGCCCTGCTGTCCTGGCCCTCAGAACAGAGCTTGCCTCCTCAGGAGAATGCCAGCCTCAGAAAACAGCCTGCTCTGCCCGCCTGGTTGCACCACTCCCTGTGCCCACTGTGCCTGCCACTTGTTTTGTGGGTCTGAGGATGCATGCTGGGCGGCATTTCTCTTGCCTCCCTGTCGGAGGCGCTCCTGCCCACTCTTTGGGGCAGTGGTCAGGCAGCACCTCCTGCTCTGAACTCAGGCTGAAGACTAGCGAGGACCTGGTAGGACACCTTTCAAACGCCCTACTCAGTCTTGGAACACAGTTGGTTCAACTCACATTAACAGAAGTCAAGGCTCTGAACATTAAGCACAATGTCTATAATTAGCTAGAGGGGTTTTAGAACTGTGTTTGAAGCTATGTCAGGCTGGGTGCAGTAATCCCAGCACTTTGGGAGGCTGAGGTGGGTGGGTCGCTTGAGGCCAGGAGTTTGAGACCAGCATGGCCAACATGGTGAAACTCCGTCTCTACTACTAAGAATACAAAAATTAGCCCAGTGTGGCGGTGCCAGCTACTCAGAAGGCTGAGGCACAAGAAGCGCTTGAACTGGGAGATGGAGGTTGCAATGAGCTGAGATTATACCACTGCACTCCAGCCTGAGTGACAAAGTGAGATTCTGTTTCAAAAAAAAAAAAAGCAACTTCAGCCAAGCAAACAGTGGTGTCTGGCCGACTGCTGCAATGGCAAGGCTGCCATAGGGAATCTGGTTCAGAGAACAGAATGCAAGATTCTACCACCAAATCCAGCCAGAGCCCCCACTAGTCTGAGCCACCTCAGCCGTAGCCACACATGGCCCATCTGCAGGCTCCTGCTCCGTGCGCTTTGCACTGGGCCAGCAGTGGCATCATGTCAGACCCCTTGCCTGCAGTGCTTCCCCTCGAGGCTTGTATGCTTTCTTTTATCACACAGTTCAAACCACTGCTGCCTTGCTACTCAAGCACAGTGGAAAGGTGACAGTCAGCAACTCTAATTCTTTCAGCCTGGGTTTTGTTGTACTTTTTTCTTCCCAGTGGGTTTTAATATATTCTTTCTAGGTAAATGGTCTTCTTAAACAGGTGTCTTACTGGAAGATCTCAAATCCATTTGTAAATAGGCAAGACAGAAGCACAGTTTAGTAGCAACTGTGGCTAATACCTGGTATTTGCAAAAGTGACTGACCAAAGATTCACATATCCAACAAAGACTCCTAAAATTCAAAGGAAATCAAACAATCTAATATAAGAATGACTCAAAAATAACAAGTAATTCAGTGATGCAAACAGCTAATGCCACATTTAAACAAAAAGATGCCCAACCTCTCTAGAAGTTCAGAAAGTAGAGTACATCTCCATGGAGCAGAGTGTTCAGGGCAACAGGTGCCTGTCTGCCTGTGCTGCTGGAAAGCCTCAAGGAAAAACCACCTGGCAAATAGTGTTCAAATTAAGGACACACACAATCCTAGTAATGCCAGTTCTAGGATTCTCTTCTGCAGAAATAAAAACCCTCGTATTTAAGACGTGTGCACAAAAGATATTCATTACATTATTGTTTGTAGTTGAAAAAAAATCCCATAAGAAGAAAACCTGAATGTCCACTAAGAAGACAATGGTTAGAAACAAAATATAATGGAGCCACTTTATGGAATATAATGTGGCTCCTGAAATGAATGAGTGATCGTTTATGCACTGCATTAGAGGAGAAAGCTTTTTAGAAGTGGAAATGAAGGTGAAAAATAATGAATAGGGGGAGCTCTCTGAACCCTTACAAGCTCAGGGTGCTGCCCTAAAAACTAGCTAAATAAAAATTATAAAGAGTAATAGGCCGGGCGCGGTGGCTCACACCTGTAATCCCAGCACTCTGGGAGGCCGAGGCGGGTGGATCACGAGGTCAAGAGATCGAGACCATCCTGGTCAACATGGTGAAACCCCGTCTCTACTAAAAATACAAAAATCAGCTGGGCGTGGTGGCGCGTGCCTGTAATCCCAGCTACTCAGGAGGCTGGGGCAGGAGAATTGCCTGAACCCAGGAGGCGGAGATTGCGGTGAGCCGAGATCGCGCCATTGCACTCCAGCCTGGGTAACAAGAGCGAAACTCCGTCTCAAAAAAAAAAAAAAAAAAAAAGTAATAAATAGATCTCATTATTTTGGGTAAAAATCAAAACCAAATGTGTATGAATGTGGATGACCTCAGCAAAAGGTGTGGAAGGATAAGGTGGACCGCTGGAGGCTGGGAGGGTGTGACACCATCCATTTCTCCTTCTATGTTCCTACCCTTTATTTATTCATTTAGAAACAGAGTCTCACTCCATCACCCAGGCTGGACTGCAGTGGCACAAGCTTGGCTCATTCAACTTCCCGCGCACAGGCAATCCTCCCACCTTAGCCTCCTGAGTAGCTGGGACCATAGGTGTGTGCCACCATGCACCTGGCTAATTTTTATAAAGAGAGTGTTTCGACATGTTGCCCAGGCTGGTCTCAAACTCCTGAGCTCAAGCAATCTGCCCACCTTGGCCTCCCAAAAGTTGGGATGACAGGTATAATCACAACGCCACCATGCTAATGCTATACCTGTTATAAATTACTCATACTAAATTCCACTAGGAAATCACATCAAATAAAAATCACTTCTCGGGTGGGTGATGTGGTTCACGCCTGTAATCCCAGCACTTGGGGAAGACAAGGCAGGAGGATCGTTTAAGGCCAAGAGAGTTCAAGACCAGCTTGGTAAACAAAGTGAGACGCCATCACTACAAAAAAGAAAAGTAAAAAAATCAGCTGAGTGTGGTGTCGTTGCCTGTAGTCCCAGCTACTCAGGAGACTGAAGTGGGAAGATCACTTGAGCCCAGGAGGTGGAAGCTGCAGTGAGCCACGACTGCAACACTGCACTCCAGCCTGGGTGACAGAGTGAAATCTTGTCTCAATAAAAACAAAAAACAAACACACACCAATCCTCTCTAACCTTGGGTAAAGCATTTTCCTGAATTTACAAACATTTACTATACCATATTATTTACAAATTGCTTTGAATTCTAGCCTTGCATCCCACCACTCTCAATTTCTTATTTATCCAATCAAGACACAGTAGTAACCATCTTTGTGACAAATACATCAACCTAGAATAACCTGGCTCACCTTGTCCCGCAAATGATGTTCTGCAGCTTCAATATTCAGTGGATCATCAAAATTCAAAAGATCCTTAAAAAGAGAGAAACTTAAAGTAAACATTGGAAGAATTGTTTTTCTGCTGTTAAAGTCTTCATTTCATGACACAGTAAGAAGTCTAATTAGCAAATGGCAGACCACCTTAAGTTAAGAATCCCACAAAGAACTCAAGTGCTTGTGATAGGAAAGTATCGAACATATGGGTATTTTTTTCAAAATGGTGATTGACAACTGACTGAAAGAAGATTATCTCTGACATGTCAGAGATACGCTGGCATGCAGTTCTACAAAGTTTGGTGAAGATGGAGAAAACAGCAATCACATTCATTTCTAATGCTATTTGTGGTGACTGGAGAATGAAAACCACTCTCATTAAGCATTTCCAAATAAAAATCCCCTTCTTTTCCATAAAAATTAACTTTTTTCTTTTGTGATTAACAGCTTTGACGTTTTGAACCAATGGGTTCTCCTGGGGCCTTCCCTGAACTTTCCTTTATCTTCTTACTCTGCTTCACCAAGACTCCCACTCACAGCCAGTAATGACAACATCTGGAACCTGAGCAAACTGCAGAGCAGTGCTACTAGGCTCATGTCCCCAGACTCAGGTGCCAGACCCAGTCTCCCTGGAAAAGCACTAGAATGGCTACACCCCTCAGCCCCAAGAAGCACTCTGGACTTTGGAACAGAAACCGTGTCTTATCTTCATACTGCTTATCCCTCTTGCTGAAAATCAAGGGGGCTTGCCCGGGTATGGTGGCTCATGCCTGTAATCCCAGCACTTTGGGAGGCTGAGGCAGGCAGATCACCTGAGGTCAGGAGTTCGAGACCAGGTTGGCCAACATGGTGAAACCCCATCTCTACTAAAAATACTAATATTACCGGGCATGGTGGCACATGCCTGTAGTCCCAGCTACTTGGGAGGCTGAAACAGGAAAACTGCTTGAACCCAGAGGCAGAGATTGCAGTGAGCTGAGATGGCGCCACTATATTTCAGCCTGGGCAACAGAGCAAGACTCTGTCTCAAAAAGAAAAAAAAAAAGAAAAAGAAAAAATCAGGGGGCTCAATTTGTCCTTATGATGAATCACTGCTTTCCAATGCAGGCTGTAGGATGGATCATTGTCAAGACAACCACATTTTTCTTCAGGAATTATGTTAAGTTTGGGGACCATGTTCCTAGAGATTAATATGGCTGTGACCATATTAATTAAAATTAAAATGTTACAAAATTAAAATGTTACAAAATAGAAAAGAAAAACTGTAAATCTCTATAGTCATTGACGGTTGGAAAACTAGATTCCAAGTCCTAGAAAAAGGCAAAAATGTAAATTACATATTATATAAAGACTGTATCAGACACAGCAAATTCCTTATCTTCTTTACTGTATGTTAGACTTAAAATAAATGGGTTGATCAGAATTTACAAAGGTTTGGAGCACTTGGAGATGGCTGTCGTAGATTTCTCTTAATTTTTTTTTTTTTTTTTTTTTGATAGGGAATTTCACTCTTGTTGCCCAGGCTTGAGTGCAATGGTGCGATCTTGGCTCACTGCAACCTCCACCTCCTGGATTCAAGCAATTCTCCTGCCTCAGTCTCCCAAGTAGCTGGGATTACAGGCACCCACCAGCACACCTGGCTAATTTTTTGTATTTTTTTTTTCCTTTTCTCCCATTAATTTCCCTATAGCAAGTTACCAGTCAAAACCTATTCAGAGCCAAGGAACCTAAGGCAGACATGGTGGGCTCCAGAAAAAAAACATCATGGTGGCTGGTGACAATGACAGCATGTAGGGACCCTAGAAGGGTCTGAGTTTGCATCTGTCCTCTTCGGCTCTCAATAAAATCTGGAAATGCCAAGACTCAACATCACAATGGAGCACAACTGTCAGACAGATTTCAAATTAGGCTCCAGAAATAAAACCTCATTCACTTCAAAGAAAAAGCCAAAGACAGAGGCAGAACAAAGTGGCTGAGACCAGCGGAAAACTGTCCAGTCCAGGTATCCATCAGGTATGACCTCCCATGGAGATTCAGGCAGAGCCAGAAATCGCTGGAAGTGCTTGGTTTCTCTGCTTGTGTGACAGGGTTTCACCGGGTAACATCAGACAGAAAGATAAAAGGTAGGCAGGGACTCACAGTTTAGTTTGAGGCTCTGCTGTTTTTTCTTTTGCTGAAGATAAGAACAAGAATACTGTGCCCTCAGATGACAGGACAAGAAAGAGCAGACCTGCCCCTAGTTCAACTGAGTCCTGCAGGTGCATCTGCCGTAGGCCACAGCCAATGCCCCACATGACACCGGCCAGGAGGATGCCCCAAAAACAGCCCACTGGCCTGGGCGGACTATCCAAGATCATAGCGGCACCTTAGGCTTTATCAAAAATAGCAAAACCTGTTTTTTCACAAACAAATCTCTGAAGCTTATTTCTTTAAAAGCACTTTTATGAATCAAAAAGTGAAAATTCAAAGGAACGTATAATATTGTATAAAAAAAAATCCAACCAACAGCTTTTAGTTGAGTCCATTTAGCCTCTTCCTGCCCTGAGCTGCCCTGAGGGCCACTGTCTGAGGAGTGCTGCCTCCTGAGAAGGGCAAGCTTCAGCAGCTCATCACCGACAAAGACAGCTCTGAGGTTCTACATGCAACGGTGCAAAGCCTTCAAGGCTGGGTAACCACATAACCATCCACACCAACCAAGACACCTGGGAGGTGACAGGGCCACTCCCTGGGCTGGCTAGTGCAGCCACAGGCACAGACATGAACTGGGCCAAGTGAGCCCAGGGTAATTAATGGCCACCCTGCTGGAAGGGGCTAAAGCAAGTGGAATCAGCTTTGTCCCCAGAAAGCGCTCAGCAGGGCAGACTGCTTTGTCTCCTGCCCCAGACAACCTCCTCACATGTCACTGCAAAGGCCCCTCATTTCCCACCTCACTGTTCTACTTCTGACTCATACAAGTGCAACAGAAAAAAGGTGTAACTATGTAACTATTTGCATGGAGGGTTATTTTTTAATTTATTATTTTTTTTAGAGACAGGTCTTGCTACGTTGCCCAGGCTGGTCTTGAACTCATGGGCTCAGGTGATCCTCCTGCCTTGGCCTCCCAATGTGCTAGGATTACAGGTGTGAGGCACCATGCCCGGCGTGTGTGTGTGTGTGTGTGTGTGTGTGTGTGTGTGTGTGTGTGTATCTGTCTTTTGAGGCAGAGTCTCTATCACCCAGGTGGAGCACAGTGGTGCAATCTGAACTCATGGCAACCTCTGCCTCCAGGGCTCAAGAAATTCTCTGACTTTAGCCTTCCAAGTAGCTGGGACTACAGGTATGTGCCACTATGCCCAGCTAATTTTTTGTAGAGACGGGGTTTATTCATGGTCTCCAACTCCTGGGCTCAAGTGATCTGCCCAAAGTGCTAGGATTATAGGCGGGAGCCACTGTGCCCAGCCCATGTTTCATTTTTTAACATGGTTTTCTGTTAACCTTAATGCAATGTTTAAAACCAGCAAAAACGAAATCGAGAAAAACTTGGGATCACCATACTTACAGTAAACAAAGAGTTTAATCCCCAAACAACATCCTGAAATAAAAAAGAAAACAAGTTTCAGGCCATTGTGCACCTAAAGTCTTTTAAACCCATGATCAAGAAATACACGTTGTACTGTATCAAAACCTGTCTTCAGCATGGCTTGTTTTTCTCAAGATAGAAAATAAAAATCACTTGTTTTCAAGTATAACAAACAACTCTGGAAAATACAAAGAGATGAGCAGTCTCAGGTAGTGAATATCAAATCAAAGAGAGCATCAGTCACCCTCCCAGTCGGACCTGACAAGCCCACTCCTGCACGGCAGGGCCCACAGGCCAGTGTCTGCACAGGGGCTCCGCCTTAAATCACTCTTAGCTGTTTCCACCAAATATAGTCTGACTTCTAAAAAGCCACCTTTAAAATAGTCTGTTGTGTTACATCTACTGCCTCTTGGGGTTGTAGATAAGTTAATTACCTCTCATCCTACTAAGTTTTCTTAATAACTTTGCTTTAGTTATTTAAAGAATCATGGAAGATTCACAATTCAAGGATCAGAGATTTTCATTACCTAAAACTGAAAGCCAGTGTTCTATGTGTACTGTCTGCCATCTGTGAATCACAAATTCATTCTCCATTTTCCTCTTCATCAGCTCAAGAGTTTTTAGGCCTGTTCTCATGCTCATCCCCTAATCTTTGCAAGTTGGTAATTTTATTTGTCCTGCTCTGCTTTCTCTAGTCCATCAGTCCATCCACCCACCCATCCCTGACCTTCCGATGTGAGCTGGGCCTAGGGCTGGGGTGTGGGTAAAGACGAGCCCTCAGCCTGAGGAAGCGGGATGGACAGGTGGGCAGGGCAGCAGGCCAGCACTGTCCAAGAGATGGGTTCCCCAGATCACCCACCCTGGGAGGAGAGGCTCCAGAGGCAATGACAGCCTCTGAGCCTGAGGGGAGCAGGAGTCTGCCAGGTAGAGGGCCAGAGGAGAGGACTGCCTTCCAGGTAGAGACACGGCCTGCAGAGGGAAAGTTCTGAGAAGGCAGAACATTCCTAGAGCGTGGGGCGAGGCTAAGAAAAGACTGGGTGGGCTGCCCACAGTGGCAGAGACTACAGCTCGGAGGAGCTAAGTCAGGACTGTATGCAGTCTGCAGTGTCCCCTGATGCTGGACCTGAGCCAAAACCCAGTTTCCTGTGCTGTTCCCCTAGGGTCCCTGCCTGGTGTTAGGTACCCAACACTTGATGGTCTTCTCTGGCCATAGGGAGTGGTCTGCACATCAGTTTGCTGTTCTTTCTCCAACATCTAGTGGCCTGAAGAGCTCAAGACATCCCTGTTAAATGAATGGTGGCCATGAGGTTTCCTATGTGGCGAGTAGTTTGGCTGTGAAGCCTGCAGTTTGAGCTCCTATCTCTGGTTCTAGAATGGTGCCTGGCAAAGCCGACAAGGATGCTCATCTGGCCCGAACTGACTGAGGTCAGTGACTGACTAAATAGCCCCAGGCAGCAGGGAGAAGAGGAGGCAGGTTGTGCCTGGCCACTGGCGTGGATGTGACAGGTAAGGACATGTGCTGCTTTCTCAGGAGGCTGGCTACTGCAGGAAGAGGACCACAGGAACAACTTATGATCAAGGCACAGACTCTACCTTCAATGTTCTTGTGGGAGCCCAGCCAGTGCCGTCAATTGAATGTTCTCTCAGTAAACTAAAAAAGACAAAGAAACACACAGTGGTTAGTGAGGAGCAGCCATGGGCGCCCTGCACGCTGCCGACTAGTCCTCTTGGTACGTGTTTTGTCTTCACCTATGCCGTGCAGGAGATCTACTTTTTATCAAACCCATCTTTTCCTCTGTGGCTTGTCTGTTTCTTCTTGCTGAGGAAGGCATTTCTACCTCCAAGGTTATACACATGTTCAATTATAATGTCTTGTGGTATGTGTGTCTATTTGTTGTAATACTTGACATGGAAGTTTTGGGCAAAGAAAAAGCATGTTTAAAATAACACATAAACAACATCTGTCAATTTAATATTCAGAAAATGACAACGGTAGCTGCGTGTGGTGGCTCCAGCCTGTAATCCCAGTATTCCAGGAGGCTGAGGTAAGGTGAGAGGATCACTTGAGCCCAGGAGATTGAGAACAGCCTGGCAACAGAGTGATTTCTTGTCTCTACTAAAAATTAAAAAATTAGCCAGGCATAGTGGTGCACGCCTGTAGTCCCAAAGGCAGGAGGACTGTTTGAGTCCAGGAGTTCGAGGTTGCAGTGAGCTGTGATTGTACCTGCAAACCTGCACTCCAGCCTGGGAACAGTGTGAGGACTATTCTGTCTCAAAAAGAAAATGACAATGGCAACAAAATGACAAGATGACAACAGGAGTAACCGAAGCTTAGATCTTATTATGTGTATGTCAGGCACAATCCTAGGTGCTGTGCCATTAAATTCACTTAATGCCTATGACCACCTGTGAAGGAAATATCACTGTTTCCCTGTCTCATACAGGAAGAAACCAAGGTACAGAGAAGACATGCCCAAGGGCACACGCCTCATGAACAGTGTTGTTCTTCCAACCTGGGCAACTCACTGGCACCGATGCTCTGAAACACTGCTGATGCAGGTTAACAACAGGAGCTCCCAGCATACGACATTGTAATAACTTTTTTTTCTTTTCTTTAAGTTCCAAAAAAAAAGCTTGAGGATAAAAGATTAATCCAGAATTCTGGATATCAATCAGTCCTTGGGTGGGGAGACCATGCTCAGGGAAGGCAAACCAGGATTCAAGGGTTTGGTGGGGTCCTATTTCTGAAGCTAGTACCTGAGAGTCCTGGTCATTACTGTCTACTGGCTGCAAAGGCACATCATACACTCGCATGGAAATGATCATTACAGTGCTCACTTCCACAGCATATATGCTCAAACTAGGATGATACAGAGAAGACTGGCATTTTCACAGCAATCTTAAAAAGTAAAAAAAAAATTTTAAAAAGATTAAATGATCATACCATATTTTGAAAAAGTATAACTTATTGCCAAGCTTCCTTCTGGAGATAAAATTACTTTTGCATTTGTTGAATTATTTTATTATGCTGTGGCTTTGATCTGTACATAAAATATCAGGTTTTACAGGCTATAATTGTTACCTCTAATAAACTTTTTTGAATTAGAGTCTGTTTAAATTCATGTAAGCCAATTTAGATCAGGATAAAAGTATGCAGAGTTTGAATCAAAGTTATAATCTTAATTGTCTATGAAGATCAGTTTAAAAAAACAGATAACTAACCTTAAATTGACGATTAAAGTTTACTTTTACCCTTAAAAAGAAAGAAGGAGAGGACAGGCATGGTGGCTCATACCTGTAATCCTAGCACTTTGGGAGGCCAAGGTCGGCAGATCACGAGGTCAGGAGTTCAAGGCCAGCCTGAACAATATGGTGAAACCCCGTCTCTACTAAAAATACAAAAATTAGCCAGGCGTGGTGGCACGCACCTGTAGTCTCAGCTACTTGGGAGGCTGAGGCAGGAAAATCGCTTGAACCCAGGAGGCAGAGGTTGCAGTGAGCTGACATTGTGCCATTGCACTCCAGCCTGGGCGACAGAGCAAGACTCTGTCTCAAAAATAAAATAAAATAAAAGGAAAACTCAAATTGTGTACCCTACCAACTGGTTGGATGTCTTTCTACCCCTACAGAGGTATTGGTGACTTGTAGATCTGAATTGTCAACTTTTGAATAACTTTTTGGGAACCAAGTCAAATCCTAGTGGCTATATTTTGTTACTACAATGATCTAGCTAATCCTTTTCTTATATAGATCTTAATGCAACCTTCAGTTATATATTTGTCATTTATTTGTCAAATGCCTGCTTCACCCATAAAAGCAGGGAATGCTAATTGCTCTGCCAGTGCCTAGGCTCAATCAATATTAGCTGAATGAAGGGGAAGAAGGCTCACCGAGCTTTGCCATCAACAGCACAGGCAGAGCAAGAGGGCTTAGCATCTGGCCGGAGAAGGTAATGGGGAGGCAAGGCCGGCCCCGCATGTGTTGGCCACCAGTCTGGATAGCAGTGAGGCCCATCAGGGGTGCAACGTCCCCAGGCACTGAGGAAGTTCTAGCCTGACCTCACAGAGGATAGTCCCAGCGAAAGCTCAGGAGACACTTGGCTATCAGAGATGTTATTATACAAAGAGGCAGAGGACACACCAGGAACTGGAATAGAAGCTTGGGCTCTAGGAGAAGCTTGAACTGGGCTCTTGACTTGGGCCCTCCAATCACACAGACATGGAGCCTCTGACCCTGTGCCAGAGCAAGGGGAGGGCTCCTGCTGGGATGACAAGGTGGAACCAGAGCTACCTCTCTAAAAGAGGAAAGTGCTCCTGTGTGCCAGAAATGAAAGTCAGGCCCATGGAATACCAGGCACCAATCAGTCCTGCTATGGGAAGAGCAGAGGTCACCACAAACCAGAGGGGTGGCTGAGCTTTTCTTTCCCTTTATTCAGGACACACCATAACACTGCCACTGGACGCTGTTTGCTTTTCACTAACAAAGTGGTCTCCGTACATCAATCTGGCACATTATTTCCTTAGATTAAATCCCTAGAAGTGAAGCTGACAAGTCTAATGGTACATACAAGTTATAGGTAGTCTACAAGACTGAAGGACCAATGAAAGGTGTGCAAATATATGCACCCTCCAACAATGAGAGAGCCTGTTCACTCTCTGTCACCCGCTCCCCCCCCCCCCGCAAGAAAACCATGAGGTGTGGCTTACCACTTACTAGATTTGTGCCTGCCAATCTGATAAGGGGTAAGCCACACCTCATGGTTTTCTGCACTTTTCTCTGGTTACCGATGAGAGTGAACACCTCCTCAGATATTTACTGCCCACCTCTATTTCTCCTTATTACCTATTTGTAGCCAATGCCACATTTTTCCAGAGGATGTATCCATCTTTTTTATAATGAATAGTAAGGACTATTTACATACCAAGGATGTTAATCCAGTTAATCATTTCTCCTTCCATTTTGTGTTCTTAATTTTCATGTGGTCAAATCTGACAATCTTTTTCCTCAAGATTTCTGGCTTTTATATCAGGATACCATCTGTGCATCCCTGTTAGACTTTGCTAATCATCTGATTTCCCAGAAGATGGCAAAAGGGACAACAGAGCTTCCTATTCTGGACCCAATTCTGACTGAGGCACGGGCAAGACAGGGAAGCAGAGTGTGGCTCCCCAGAAAGCAAGCCAGGTGTCCTTGCAAGCACAGGAGGAATCAGGGCATTGGGGCCTGGACCAAATGCATTTATAACCTGCAACCATTGATGGTGGAATTTTGACGTTTCAACACGTAAAGGACAGGCATGTAAAAGGGAAGATGCTTTTTAAAAAGGTATGCCTGGTAAAATGTATTTCTAACTATCTGTGAAAACTGAAGGTGATAGTGAAGAAAGGGAGCAGTCTATACAGAAATAAAATGGGCAAATGGGCACTAACTGTACTTCTGAAGAGAAAGGCATCCTGCTGTAGGATTTCCAGCAGCCATGGCTTACACATTTCCTTTCAAAGGTGATTAGTGTTTACTTAGGAGAGAGGAACAAAAGAAAAGAAATGGCAGAGGTTGAGCATGAGAACTAAATTGGCCACTAATCACATTTCATGTCAGAAGTAGGAGAAATGTGCTAAGGAAACACTTCGTGCCTACTTTCCAAACTGGCTGGGTGTGAGGTACATACGGGTAAATAAACAGCCTAAAGTCTCATAGCTGTCCTAAGTGGGGCAGGGGCTGGACTCGGGTCCAGGTGGTCTGGTATCAAAGCCCTGCAATCAACCTTGCTGCCTTAAAGTAATGAAAGGGACAAAGTGCAGAAAAAATAAAGCCCAAATGTGAAACTTATTTTAAAAACCAACCAACCCACCTATACATCTTTTCCAGCAAACTTAGGAGGAGAAATCACTGACCCCTGACATTTTGTCATGTCGGGGATCAGGGACACAAGTCATAGCAGACATGAAGATCGAAAAATCTGCCTGCCCTAGGTGCCATGACACCTATCAGGACCGTTTTGGTAGAGAGGGCAGCTTAAAGACAGGTGCCCAAGGTCGTCTTAAGCCTGCCATCTACATCTTTTCTCCTGGGTGCCTAACATTAATCATATTTTCTCATCTTAGCTAAAATCAGCCACATGGAGAGAATGTGGTCTCCCATTTAAACAGGAGTGGAACAAGATAAGGGACCCCAGGGGTCCATCCTGGAAAGGCAAGGAGGCTGCACTAAGAATGTAGCAGGGCTGTGGCCCCCAGAGGGCCACGAGAGGACACTGGTCTGTTGGCAGAAGGTAGGGTAGGGTTTGGGAGCAGGCAGGCAGCCACAGCTACTTTGGCTGAGTCTAAGTCCTTTCTAATCTCGGCCATGCTTCAAAGTCTTCTCTCAGAGGAGACAATGCGTTTAAGAGCCCGACGCTCATACACGACACTCACAAATACAGAAGAAAGAAAAGACAAGAAACTCACCTCAGACATATTTCCCCTGTCTCTGTGATATTGGGGTGCCAGATCTTGGTCAGGCATTTCACTTTGGGGGGCTGCAACACAGAGAAAATGAGAAAGATCACACCAACAGTCTCTGCAAATCACATCTCCAGGTCAGAGCCTTACCACATTCCCTGTCTAGATGCCATTTCATGGCTTACTCAGTGTGCCATGTGACTCACTGAGCATGTGTTCAACCTTGAATACTCGTCCACCTCACCTACGAGGCATATATCAATGCGCTGCATCCACAAGGGCTGGTCTCAGCAGCAAGTCTGCCCGTGGGCTTCTGAGCTCCTCTCTACAAGCCCCATGTGTCCTGCTGGCTGACAGTGCTGGTGACTGGACCTCTGTTACCTCCCATACCCCCTGGGTTTGAGGCTGCAGGTATCCACAGTGCACTCTAGGGAATAGTTCTGCACCCTCTGGCCCAAATCAAACCAGAAGCCCCAGAGTCCTTTGCACCAAAAGTTGCTAACTATGGCTGAAAGTTACTGCTACTTACAAGAACAGCCTGTTCCCTTTGCTGGATTTTTCTGAAGATGCTACTGTCACATACATTTTCTTAGGTGAAAGCCCTAGTCCATGTTATACTTAAAGGGAGAAAGAGAATGAAAATGAATGTGTGGGGATAAAGTATATCAACATCATTTATGACTTGACAGGTTTGGATGAAGTTCTTTTAAGATTTTTCTAGGTCAGGCATGGTGGGAGGCCACCTAAGAGGAGAAAATATAATTAATGACAGATATCCAGGAGAAAAAAATCTCAGCACTTTGGAGGCTGAAGTGGGAGGATTGTTTGAGGCCAAGGGTTCAAGATCAGCCAAGGCAATATAGCAAGACCTTGTCTCTCCAAAGAAAAAAAGTGAGCTGGGCATGGTAGCTCCTGCTTGTCGTCCCAGCTACTCAGGATGTTGGGCGGGGAGAATCACTTGAGCTCAGGAATTGGAGACTGCAGTGAACTATGACTGTACCATTGTACTCCAGCCTGGGTGACAGAGTGAGACCCTGCCTCCAAACCAGAAAACAAAACAAAACAGATCTTTCTCTATTACAAAGGCAATCCATACTCAGAGAAAAGGACAACAAAAATGAAAAGAAATATATGTAAATATATAATAAATTATGTTGTCTTTCACTTTTGTTTTTTATGTAAGAATACATATACTCCCCCATCGTAACTCTACCCAGAAATAATGTGACACCTGTACATGTATTCACGCCTCTTTTCTAGGCCACACACCTAGCATGCAGGCAGCACACTCATTTTTCTTTACAGAATAAAGCTGTGCTACGTATGTCTTAGTTATTTCTGCCATCATTTCAGATGACAGCCCACATTCCATGGTAGTCCTGCCTGCACTTAACAAGCACTTGCCTACCTCTGGGCCCTTAGGTTGCTTCCTCTTCTCCCAGCTCTGCTCTATCAAAAAATGCCCATATCTTTGCTCATACTCTGGATGAAATGTTTCCTCGAATGAAGCCCAGGAAGAGGGTCTGCTGGTCAGAAACCCTAGCTTCTGGTACACTGCTTGTGTCCTTCAGAAGATGTGACACCCATCCCCCATCCCCACCCCCACAACCTACAGTGAGGGAGAGGGTCTCTGCTCCCACAGCAAGTCTCCTTGATTAATATGCAGTAAGTGTCAAATCACGGGATCTCATCAGAAAGGTCATCTCAAAAAACAATCAACCCTTTGTGAAATGGGTAACATTTTCCCTGTTTATCATTTGCTATTAACTTTTATTTATGATGTTTTCTGAGTAGGTTTTTTATTTTGGTAATCAAATTTTTATCTTTGATGCCACACTCAGAAAATACTTTATTATCCAAATATCCTCTTTAACTTTCCAGTAAACTTTTATAGTTTCATCTTTTCATTTATTTGTATAAAGCAAAAATACTTTTTCAACACCCTAATGAATATTCTAATTTCAAAATACCACAAAATCAGTAGACTCAAAAAAAAAAAAAAAAAAAAATGATTACACGGACAGTGCAAATGCATGTGTCTGAGGACAAAGAATTTAGGTTCAGAATGAGTTTAAATAAATTTCACATTGTGCTTTTCTACAAATAAATGAGAATGCATTTGATACAAAGGAAGAACTGCATCTTTCCCTTCCTGAGGCATCTGAGCTGCAGACTGCCAAACAGCAAGGCTGTGTGCATCCCTCTGAGTCACTGGATAGTGTCAGTCTAGTGTTAGGCCGAGTCACCAACTCTCAGTTTCTGAACGAACTTAGAAAATTGGCAAACTTACTCTCCCTCCCAAGCAGGTGCCCCTTCTGCAGAGGCCCTCACACATGACCACCCAGCCTGTACAACCACATCTCCCAAAGGCTTGGGGGGTAATCGCCCTTCCTGCTGTCCCCTTCACACCTTCCACAGTTTGATGTTAACACAGATGCCCCCTTTTGCCAATGGTTCTTTTAACTGTGGTTCCAGAACAGAGGGCAAAACTCTGCACCTGGCTTCTGACACACATACTTTCCAAACTAAATTGGGTCCGTAGCCCCTTCCCCCCAAACCCAGTGGCCCACAGCTAGACAAGCAAGCAATGCCCAGCCCTCCCACATTTCCCCTCAGTTCAGTGCTTGGCACGGCCACCATCACTCACCCTGCCAGGTGTCTAATCTATGACAAGTGTGGCCTTTCAAACCAACAGGGAAGTGGGTTATTCAGTGGGCCGCTGGCTACCCATGTGGAAAAACACAATGTTCCAGATGCATTAAAATTAAACATAAAAGAGAATTATAGGCGGAGTAGAAGAAAATGCAGATGATCATCTTGGGCCTTAAGCATTTCATAACATACAAAACTCAAGCAGCAAAACAAAAAAACCAAACTTGTATATCAACTAGAGATGGCAAATGCAAAACAAAGAAAGTATTTATAGCATAGCTAAAAAAAGCTAAGAGAAAAGTTTCACATACTTTGCATATAAGAACGCTAGTAAATCTAGAGAAAAACAAATACCCCAATGGAAAAATAGGCAAAGGACAAAATAGCAGCTCATAAAAATTATAAATAGCTAATTAGTAGGAAACACTATTCAGCATCCAACTTAAGATGAAAATGCAGCTAGACACAGTGGCTCATGCCTGTAATCCCAGCACTCTGGGAGGCTGAGACGGGCAGATCACGAGACAGGCCTGGCCAACATGGTGAAACCCTATCTTTACCAAAAACACAAAATAAGCCGGGCGCAGTGGTGCACTCCTGTAATCCCACCTACTCGGGAGGCTGCGGCAGGAGAATTGCTTGAATCTAGGAGGTGGAGGTTGCAGTAAGCCAAGATTGTACCAGTGCACTCCAGCCTGGTGGCAGTGATTCTCTGTCTCAAATTAAAAAAAAAGAAAGAAAGAAAGAAAGAAATGAAAATGCAATTGCTTGAACCTGGGAGGCAGAGGTTATAGTGAGCTGAGACTGTGCCACTGCACTCCAGCCTGGGTGACAGAGCTCTCAAAAAAAAAGAAATGACAATCAGATATCAAATGAGATACAATTTCCTCCCAAAATGGCAACAACAACAACAACAAAAAGGCGAATACTCCACCTTGGTGAGTGGTTAGAGAAAGGGAATTTTCAAACACTGATGGTAAGGATGCCAACTGGCATTCCTTTCTGGAAGGTAATTTAATAGGATTATCAAGAACCTTAAAATGGAGCATCAGTTACTCAATACCCATAATGCCATGTCTAGGAATTGATCCAGAGGAAAGAGGCAGAAACACCTAAGATGCATGTCCCGGACTCACCTCACAGCCCTGTTTGTTCTGGGGCAGCAGACCATAGCCTACAGACCAAACCCAGGCTGGGACTGTTTTCAAATGGTCAAAGACTGGTTTTTACATTTTCAAAGGTTTAAAAAAATAAAAAAAGACTATAGGACAGAAACCATATGTGGTCCACAGAGCCTAAAATAATTATTACTTAGCCCTTTACGGAAAGTCTGCTTTACACTACAAAAGGTTGGTCAACCAGTGACCAATGATAAAGGACTGGTTTAAAACGATACATCATACAAAGAAGTGCTCTTATTAATGATGATGCAATCATGCATTGACTGACATGAATACATTATATCTATCATATTATAATGGGAAAGCCCCGAGTTACCAGGCTATGCATAGTATTACCCCATTGGTATGTGGGATTTATACTGTCTGCAAAAGACATTAGAGAGTCATGGTTATCATCTCTGGGTGGAGAGATTATGGGTGATTAATATTCTATTTTTGCATGGCCGTGTTGTCGCAATTTCCTACAAAGTCTAATAATTTTATACGAAGAAGAAGGGTGAGTGGGAGTTCAGGTGTCACCTGTGGTGGTCATCACTGCTAAGTGTCTCTGGCTCTCCTCCTCCAGGGCCCAGGGCAGAACAGCCCTTCCTTAGTCCTTCCAGGCTGGCCATCACCAGGTAATGTGATTTGGCCAACAACATGTGAGGAGACGCGGCATCTTCACTTCTGGGAGGAGACCAGAGCCAAGAACAAAGAGCTCCAGTCCTATCTCCTGCTGCAGCACACAGCTTCCTCCAACCAGCTCCTGACCAACATGCCTGAGGGCTGTGTGACACCACAGGCCAGGTGGGGTCTGGGCTAAGGCTCCCTCTTCCTCCAAGGCACCCCCAGGCCATGCCACATGCTCTTCCTCTGGGCGGACCTACCAGCCTGAGGAAGAGCTATTGCCCACGTCATCACCCAGGCTCCACACTACCATGTCAGTGTCTGTCTCCCCAGAGTCTGGAATTCTTAAAAGGTCACAAGTTCCCATCCTTGGCCCTCCAGTGTCTGACGTGGAGCCTGGCACAATGTAGTATCTCACTAAATGTTACCACATCAGTTTGGCCAGTTTCTAAACTGGCAAATTACAAAGCAGGCTTCAGGCTAGGAGTTAAATTTCAGAGACAAAGGGACAAAAACACACAGAAAATCTGAATTTTAGCTGTTGGGATATGGGGTGGGGGATTCCAAATAGACATTTTTCTTTTGAAAGTTTATTCTAAAATAATGATCAACTTTACTAAAAGTTTTCCAGATTCATAGTCTTCATAACAGACCTTCACTGCAGGAACTATAACTCTTAGGAGATAAGTCCTTATGAAGTACAGAAATTGTGTAAAGTCAGTCATGGCGGTGAAGCAGATGCACCCTGAGAAGCCCCAGCCCACCCCTAGGCTCCGCACTGGCCACTGCTGTATCCGCTCTCACCGACCCACATGGCGCCCTCAGAGTAAGCCCTCACACTATCCTGAATGCCTGTGCCTATGTGATCTTCCTACATTGGTTGAATTATTTCATCTCTTTTTTACACTGTTAAGTTCATGGGGGGCAGAGAGGGGGCAACCACTGGACAGTCTGTATTTCTTGCCTAGTGTGGGAGGCACAGGCTACACATTGGAAAAAGTCTGGGCAAGACAGCTGGTACTCCCTCATGGCTCACAGCCCAGTGGGAAAGAGATGCTCCAGAGAGTCTGTAAGAAATGATTCAGGCCGGGCGCGGTGGCTCAGCCTGTAATCCCAGCACTTTGGGAGGCTGAGGCGGGAGGATCACGAGGTCAAGAGATCGAGACCATCCTGGTCAACATAGTGAAACCCCGTCTCTACTAAAACTACAAAAAATTAGCTGGGCATGGTGGCGTGTGCCTGTAACCCCAGCTACTCAGGAGGCTGAGGCAGGAGAATTGCCTGAACCCAGGAGGCGGAGGTTGCGGTGAGCCAAGATCGCGCCATTGCACTCCAGCCTGGGTAACAAGAGCGAAACTCCGTCTCAAAAAAAAAAAAATTATAAACATGGCAAATGCAACTACTCTTTTTTTTTTTTTTTTTTTTTTTTTTTGTAAGATGGAGTTTCACCATGATGGCCAGGCTGGTCTTAAACTCCTGACCTCAGGTGATCCACCCACCTCAGCCTCCCAAAGTGCTAGGATTACAGGCGTGAGCCACCGCGCCCGGCTGCAACTACTTTTATGTTCAACCAAGTTACCACACCCTAATGGTCCCCCGGAGACTCCCTGATGGGACACCAGTGACATAAGCTGGCCCCTAAGGAAGTTGCCCCACACTTGCCTGAATGAGAGGCAGACAGGAAGAAAACACGAGAAGGGGACAGAAGGCCGGGTGCAGTGGCTCACACCTATAATCCCAGCACTTTGGGAGGCCAACGCGGGCAGATCAGCTGAGGTCAGGAGTTCAAGACAAGCCTGGCCAACATGGTGAAACACGGTCTCTACCACAAATATAAAAATTAGCTGGGTGTGGTGGTGGACACCTGTAATCGCAGCTACTCAAGAGGCTGAGGCAGGAGAATTGCTTGAATCCAAGAGGTAGACGTTGTGGTGAGCTGAGATTGTGCCACTTCACTCCAGCCTGGGTGACAAGAGTGACACACCATTTCAAAAAAAAAAAAAAAGTTGGGTGCAGTGGCTCCGCCTGTAATCCCAGCACTTTGAGCTGAGGCGGGCGGATCACCTGAGGTCGGGGAGTTCGAGACCAGCCTGTAACATGGAGGGGTTACAACATGGAGAATCCCTGCCTCTACTAAAAATACAAAATTAGACAGGCATGTTGGTGCATGCCTGTAATCCCAGATACTCAGGAGGCTGAGGCAGGAGAATTGCTTGAAACCGGGAGGCGAAGGTTATGGTGAACCGAGATCGCACCATTGACTCCAGCCTGGGCAAAACTCTTGTCTCCAAAAAAATGTCGGAGGAGGCAGATAAGAAGGAAAGGCTGAGGAGATGAGAGGAAAGGACCCTACAGAAGCAGGGTGGGAACACGGTTCATACAGAGCCACCAGCTGCTCTCAGTATTTCTGGGCTTGAGAAGAGGAGATTTTATTCCTGATGAAATCTGACCAGTCCATCGCTTATGAAACTTCCAAAACAGACAGCAGTGGAAATAGAAAAATGTAAGATCATCATCGTAAGAGAGCTAAAGGTCAAACACAGCACACAGAACTTCAGAAAAGCTGCAGTGGGATGATGTGTTTATTTTCCCATGGGGACTGGTAGTGGGGAGGGGGCTGAGGAATAGCAGGTATGAGAGAAGAACAGGAAAATCCCTGGGAAAATTTAAGCCTTACCCTCTATCTCAACCTCTGTGCCAGTCTCCAACTAATAAGGGAAACAAGTCTTCAAGACTCAGTGGCTTTCGAGTCATTCTTTATTCCATTTTCCTTCCTATTTCTTGAAGTCACAGGTGGGAAAGGACAGTCTGACAATCATTTTCTCACCACTTGGTGTGGCAAGAAGAGCACATGTTTAAAAGCTGGGCAGCCCTGGACATGAAGTGACCTCAACAATTCAGCCATCTACATTGGAAAGCTAATGTTGTTAACTTTAGCTTTCAGAACCCTAACTTTCTAATGTATAAAGATACGAATGTTAAGATCACCCAATGACAGGAAGATGAGGCTTGAACCCGGGACGTAGAGGTTGCGGTGAGCTGAGATCGTGCCACTGCACTCCAGCCTGGGCGAAAGAGCAAGACTCCATCTCAATTAAAAAAAAAAAAAAATCACTCACTGAAATACCAGAAGAGAAGAATAAAGTAACGTGAATGAATAAAGTAACCTGGCACACAGAGGCTGTCAATCATGCCTGTTCCTTCCTTGGTATTTTTTCTTGTTTTGCTTTCTTCCTATAATGAAAACAAGAAACTCTGCTACTAGATGATGCCAGATACACCTGAAACAATGGTTCTCTGATGCCTCATGACTTGTCTGGAAAGTTTATCAACTGACACTTAAATCCCTGCTATGACATCCAGAATGGTGTGTCATAAACTCATCACCCTTTAATTTTAACATTATCAGAGATGGTCTATCTAAAAAGTATTTAGCAGCAAATCTAAATACAGAATTTTAAATACTGTATGCCTGGTTGTTTCCAGAAACCACCTGAGTCCAAATTCTAAACATCTGCACTGAAACCATGCCTCTGAAACCACCTCGCATCGGACAGTGTGCAGCGCTCCGTCACCAGGTTTCTCAGTGTGGTTTGGGAAGGATGAAAAATCTCAGCAGGTGGTGGATGGACAAAGGCTGGAAATGTGTATTTTCCTGTTTTTGTCTACATATTAAAAAATTTCTTGGACTGCCAACTCTTCCCCATCCCCATAAATTACATTTCACAAAGAACTCTAAATGGAGTAGTCCAGTAAAAAGTCCATTTCCATAGATTAAGGTTTGGCTTCGAAAAAAAGTGCTACAGCCACTGAAGTGAGCCCAGGTGGCTGGGGTCAGGAGCAACTTTACTCGTCAGGCAGTGGGAACACATTTCCTACAAGCGAAGTAACAGGCACAGTATTCCCAAGGCCCACATCCTCATGATGGGAATGAGGCTTTCTTTTCTATGGCAGCACCATCAACTTGTGCTTTCCTACTTGATGGACCAAGATGGTTGGTTAGAACATGTGAGGAGGAATACACACCCACAGTGCACGCCATTAAGACAAGCACGCTGAGCTGCCCACGCCAACTCCTGGCAGTTTGGGCTGAGACACATCATACCCATCCCTGAGGTGCAGCCACGCCCTCTCTAATGCCCCAACTCAGGGCTATGGAATTATTCAGAATCTCCAGTTGTCACTGTCAAATCGAAAATGCCCAACCAAACCCCCAAATCTGAGTTTTCTCATTTTCTCCCCCGTTCTTCTCCAACTCCAGTTGTCCATTCCAGTTGACCTGGTCCATCTGCCTTCTGCAGTGTGTAAGTTTTCAGGTCCACAACTGTCACCACATTTCACCACATTTCCATGTCACCTACAACACCATCCCCTGGTTCTGGGCCACGACACGGTGACTCCAAATCAATTTCCCCCAAAAAGCTTAACTAGTCCTGACCACTTTCCAAAGTGATCACTGCTTTCCCTTCTCTGAATTCTGGAAAACTACTTTAGTATCTCTACTGTCTTCTACTTACCATTTTTATCACTTCATCAACTTTCTACACTTTATCTCTCCTTGGTCTGTAAGTTCCCCCAAAGCAAAGACATAATGTAATGGTATTTGGTATAATTATTACCTGAAAGGGTCTCTGAGGGATTAACATGAAACTATAGGTATAAATTACTTATAGCTTAAAATTACAAGTCATTATTCTCTGAAATTCTAAAATACACATTTGATAGACTTCTGGAATTTTGGTGTTATATCATAAGCAAAACTACAGTCATTTTATTAAATGCTTTTTTTCTTCAGTGTCAGACTTTAGCAGACAAGAATTACAGAAAATACACAGGCAGGCTGCCTGGTACATAGTATTCATACGTTTTTGTTGAATAAATGAATTCTCTGCTGACACTCTAAACACTGCTGATGAGTGACATTCATCCCAAAAATACTGAAGTGAGTTCTCAGTCACACATGGACACACGCAGAGGGGAGTGCTAGGGCCCCGTGCCAGTGCTAGGGCCACAGCCACAGGCAGCCCCGCCCAAGAAGTAGAACAACAGGCTCAACGCAGGCTACTCACCACCATGTTGTACGCATCGGGAACTTCAGTTTCAAACTGAAATTTTCCACCCTGGTAGTAACCCTCATCTATCAAAAAACACAAAACAAAACAAAAAAATCCTTTAAATTAAAAAAAAGGAAACAAAAAGCAAACACTCTGTTAGGATATGGCAAATACAGAGAATCAGGAGTTTAAAAACAGGCCTGTAGAGCTCCTTGGTTCCATCACCAAATGCACACACACAGGAGGGAGTCCTGCTCTTGCCTGAATAGAAATGGGCTACATGCTGCCACCCACCTGCTATCTGTCTCCTCCGGGCGCTGAGCACACCCTCAGGGAAGGGAGGGGACATACTTCGGGGCCATCTGACTGGTCTCTTCGCATCCTACCATTTTCCTGGAATGCACAACCCTCTGAACACATCTCATGCCTTAAGTGACTTCTTTATCTGCTTACTGCTGGTCTTCCCAAGAGAATGTCAATTGGAGGACACATGACTAACAGTCACCAACAAACACTTACTGAGCACCCACCCTCTGTTGGGCATGGTTCTCAGCTTTGGGGACATGGCAGTGAACCTGAGAGAATCATTGCCTTAGTGAGCGCTTGGCGCAGCCTTCACAACAGAGCAGGCCCTCTGGAAATGTGGGCTGGTGGGCACCAAGGAGGATGCCCAGGGTCTGAGCCATTCACATGCTGTGTGCCCCCCACTCCCTCTTTGCTCTGTCTCCCTCACACCCTGTAGATCCCACAGGGCAGTGTCTCTCTTCAGATGGTACCGAGTCTGGGGTCAGTAAATGGCTGCTGGTGCCAGCAGAGGGCACTCCAGCATGAATAAGCTTGGAAAAGCCACCTAGGAATTAAATTATTCTCAATTTTCAAATTTGACAGAATTAGCACCATTTTAAAATGAAAAATCAACTTCCCCTAAAATATTTATCATCATGAACAAACCAGCAATATTAAATCTTGTCACTTTTCTCAATGTTTTTTATATGAAATGAATGCATGACAGCAAGTTGTTAGCCTCAACAAGTCATCATTTAAAATAAAATCCATTCCTTAAGAGTTGAGACTGGATCAACATTTATGTCTTCCAGCAGTTAAAACTGGCATTACCTGGACCCTAACATTTTTTTCTTTGCCAATTTGATAGAAGAGAAATACTAGTTCTCTTTTATTTTACATTCTCTGTTGAATACCAGTGAGGCTAAAATTTATATTATTATTGGTCATTTATGTTTTTGCTGTTAAGAACTGAATGATCAACGTTCTGAAACTCTCCATTTATTACTGATATTCACCTTTTAAATACCAATATAAAGTCTCTTAAGAAAATTAGCCTTTGCTTTTTTATGTTATGAGATATTTTTCTTAGGCTGCCATTTGCATTTTGATTTTGTGGTTTCTGAACACTAGTTTTCCCTTTTTAAGATGCTAATCTTTCTGTAAGGTTTCTGTCTTTGGTATCATGCTTAAAAAAGGCCTGTAATCCCAGCAGTTTGGAAGGCCAAAGTGGATGGATCATGAGGTCAAGAAATCGAGACCATCCTGGCCAACATGATGAAACCCCGTCTGTATTACAAATACAAAACTTAGCTGGGTGCGGTGGCACACATCTGTAGTCCCAGCTACTTGAGAGGCTGAGGCAGGAGAATCACTTGAACCCGTGAGGCAGAAGTTGCAGTGAGCCGAGATCGTGCCACTGCACTCCAGCCTGGGCAACAGAGACCCTGTCTCAAAAAAAAAAAGAAGGCCTTTCCCAACCAAAATTTCATAAATACCCTCCTATATTTTCTTCTAGAAATTTAATGGTTTCATAGATTACATTTAATCAGCTCATTCATTCATCAACTGATTTCAGACTAAGGTCGTATTTTTTTTCATAGCTGGTTGCTTACTCATCCCAATGGCATTTATTATTCTAGCCTTCCTCCACTTATTTGAGATGGATATTTCTAATTTTTATAAATACACCTGAACTTGTGACTGACAGTATGAAATCTTTGGCAAGGATACTTGTTTGGGGAAGTTTTTAACTCCAGAAATGAGAACTTTTCAAATAAGTGGCATCTTAGGTATAAAATACTCAGAGTATAATATCCTTGATTGCCAAAGCATGTGTGGATGTTGGTCTTTTATACGTACTCTGATATTGACCACTGTGGCACAGCACAGAAATCCAACGTTAGGCGTAACATTACAAAGCATGAAGTCCGTTCTGTGAACTGTTACCACAGCTTTTGGGTGATGCTGCTGCACCTGCGCTGTTCTTTTCCTTAAGAATGATTACTACCCATGCGAGACACCTTGGACATGGCTGTGCTCTCGCCATTCCATCCTGCCATGCTATATTTTTTCTCTAGTTGGCTTTCTATCTCATCGATTACAGAGTTTCAACTCTATTGCCTACCACTTTCAAAGACGTTATTTGGTCTAACATGATTCTCACTTTACCTTATTCCCTCTTCTCCAGTCAAGTTCTTATTTAATAATTATAAGGATTATATCTTAACTCATTAAAAAGTGAGAACAGACTGTTCTGTTTTTCTCTTTCATGAAACATATCTCTCTCAGGAAAATGATCTGCTCCTGCATCAGTATTTTTCCCCTCTTTGAAGTTGCACAGCTTTTAGATCTGATCCAAGTCTGCTTATTTATTATTGAATTTGCCCAGAAATTCCACAGTCCAACTTAAAAAGCAGCTTGGGGGCAAACTGGACTGAGATGAAACCCAAGAGCATCTCTTATTTACAAGGGTTTCCTACACGATGACCCCAGCTTAAGAGTTCTGATTCACCTTCTGCACCTGGCTCTGGGACTGGCTGGCCCAAGGTGGAGACAGTTCAGGGAAGGACTGCTCACTTCCAGCGCTGGCAGGTAGAGGGCTCATTGAGTATGTCTGTAACTGCAGCGTGCACTGTGGCCCAGAGCACAATATACAAGTCTAGGACAGGCCAATTCTGTGTTACTATCGTCCATGGCTGCTGGGGCTGAAAACATTATACTCCTCAGACAACTAGGTTTCAAAATACAATAATGAAATGCAACCAGGGAAAGTTCCTGGCACTCAGCTCTCAATCAGCTGCCTCGCCCCCTGCCCCACTGTTACAATTAGAGGAATTACTCTCCTCTTCCCTTGTGCTTTAGAGCCCACTCCCCACTACCTTTGAAGAGCCATACTCCTGAGTCTTCAAGGTTACCGGGAGCCCTGGGAAAACAAACCTTTTGAAGGGGTATGTCAGCACAAATCATTGTGACAGAATCCATTTTTAGATGGCCAACATCCACACATGTTCTATCCGGGAACAAATCTGCGGACAATGCCCTCAAGGCCAAGGAGTCATGTCAGCTTCCTATCCCACCTCTCTTTCACAACCTTCTTTCCCCCTGTAAAAAAAAAGTCCTCCTTCCCATCTCCCCTTGTACTAGAATGAAATGCCTGGAGGAGTAGACATTCCCAGGGGACAAAAGTACTCGTGATGCACTGATAGCAGTAAAGCCACCTCAAAGCAACACATTATGGTAGGGTTGTGCTTTTCCCTATATTTGCTATTTCCCCAACCACTGCATCTCTATCCATTCGCTTTTCGCTATCTATATCCATTTCTTTCTCTTCTTTTTTTAATTATTTATTTATTTTTGAGACAGAGTTTACTCCATTGCTCAGGGTTGAGTGCAGTGGCACAATCACAGCTCACTTCCGTCTTGAACTCTGGGGCTCAGGTGATCCTCCCACCTCAACCACCCAAGTAGCTGGGACTACAGGCGTGCACCACCACATCCAGCTAATTTTTTATAGAGATTGGGTCTCACCATGCTGCCCAGGCTGGGCTCAAACTCCTGACCACAAGTCATCTGCCCATCTTGGCCTCCCAAAGTGCTGGGATTACAGGCCTGAGCCACCGCACCTGGCCTATACCCATTTCTGTAAAGGGCAAATCATGGTGTTATAAATAGTATGTCCTTGTTCACGCTGGAGTGTCTTGGGTTCAGAAACTGGGGCGTGTGATGGCAGGGATGATGAAACGTCATTTAGTACATTCAATCCCTAGACCACTGTAAAGGCAGGCATCAACCCTGTGAGAGGCAAGCAAAGAGGATGCCAAGACACAGCAGTCATGGTGCCTTCCTCCACCCAGGGTACCAGCTCCATGCCTCACCTATCTAACTAGGAGCGGGAGCTCAGAGTGAGATGGCTGTCAGAGGCACATTGTTAGAATGAAAGTGAAGTAAGACTCTGCCTGAGAGAAAGAGTCTGATTTGGCTGACTCAATTTGACAATTAATGTATATGGCAGACAACTTTGATAAACCGAATTGCTGAATCTGCAGCTCCAAGCTTTGGGTGAAAATAGAAAGAATGTAGTAAGATTTTTACATATTTTGCAAGCTGCCTGCCTTGGCCGGCGGTATACATATTAGTATGTTGAAATTAACAATACTGCTGTTTTTCTCAACTCCTCCTCAGAATTCCGGCAAAAGCCTGCAAAGCTGCTCTGAAGTGAGAAGTGACAGATGTAACTACTCGGGGTGGAAAAGCATTCTGTTGTCCCTGCAGCTGACAGGGATTGGCAAAGTGATTCTGGACACTTTAGAAACTGAAGCAAAGAACACGAATGACTGAGTGACTAAGCTTCTCCAAGTCAGGTGGCTTCCCGTTCTCTACTTTCAACTAAATGGAAGAAGGAACCTATTCTAATAGTTGAAAAATCATTGAATACTTTATATGAGGACAGGCAAGGTGGCTCATGTAATCTCAGCACTTTGGGAGGCCAAGGCAGGCGGCCTGCTTGAGCTCAGGAGTTCAAGACCAGCTTCAGCAACATGGCAAAACACTATTTCTACCAAAAAAAAAAAAAAAAAAAAAAAAAATTAGCTGGGTGTGGTATGTGCCTGTAGTCCCAGCTACTTGGGAGGCTACGGTGGGAGGACCACTTGAGCCTGGGAGTTTGAGGCTGCAGTGAGCCATGATTGGACCACTTCACTCCAGCCTGGGCAGCAGAGTGAGACCCTGTCTCAAAAAAAAAAAAAAAAAAGGGAAAGAAAATACTTCATGTGATCTTTGGCCTTTAACTTTGAAGTCC